AGAGGGAAATGGCTCCAGTCTGGGAATCACGCTCTACCTTGATCCCCAAGAAGAACTCAGTGGGACCAAGGTTCTTGACTTTGAAGGAAGTGCCAAGTTGAGCAATGACCCGGTCAATGGCAGCATCATCCTTGGCACAGATGACACCATCATCAACATGAATAGAGAGTATGATGCGCACATTGCCATCTGAGTAGATATAGCAACAGTGATCAGACTGGAGGCATTTGAATCCCATGGAAACAAGTTTCCCTAGAAGCTTCTTGTACCATTGCCGACTTGCTTGCTTCAGGCCATAAAGAGAGCGCAGAAGTTTAAGCACCTGGTCCGGTCTGCCTTGAGGAAAGCCAGGAGGTTGAGTCATATAGACATCTTCCTCAAGGTCCCCATTGAGATAAGCAGAGGAGAAGTCAATGGAACGAAGCTTCATATCATGCTGAGCAGCAAGAGCAAAAATAGTGCGGAGGGTGGCAGGTTTAAAGGTGGGAGAGAATGTCTCATTAAAATCCACACCTGGGCGCTGTCTACAACTATCGGCAATAAGCCGGGCCTTGTAGCGCTCAATTGTGCCATCAGACTTGTACTTTTTGATAAAGACTCATTGGGCACGAATAGGGCTGACACCAGGAGGTGCATCCACCACTTCCCATGTACAGTTCTCAAGCAAAGCATGCTGCGATAGCTGCCTCATCCCATAAATGCCCATCTACCATTCGCAATGCTTCAGGTAGGTTCCTGGGAAGACGATCTGTAGCCAACATAACTCCCATAAGAGCAGCAACGGCACTGTTAGCACGTTGTAAGTCAGGAGACATTGGATCACCTTCATAGGCAACAATCATAACACTGCCAGGTTTGAGAAGCAACTCATCATCAGATGATTCTTCACCTGATGATATAGCTGGTGTAGGCTCTCTATAAGCCTTCCACCACTCCCCCAGAGCTCTATGCTCAGTGATCTGACCATGGAAGCGACGTCTAGCCGCCACTCCAACTGGAGAAGGTGGGGGAGTTTGCTCTGGCAGGTTAGGAATGTTAGGAGGAGGAGATGGAGAGGGAGATGGAGAAGGGGGTGCTGGAGCAGGGGCTGGTATAGAATGAGCAGGATTGTCATCATCATTATCATCACCATCAGGAACATAAATGCCATCAGGTGGAGGAGGAGGGAGATGATTGAGACGAGAAAAGACAGAAGGCAGGCTCAATGCAAGGACACTTTGCCATTTGGGTAGGGCTATTGCCAAGGAAATAGTGCTCATCAAACACAGCATGCTCAGCAATAACAATCCTCCTGGTGGCTGGGTTATAGAATGCCTAGCCCCTATAGCCACGAGGGTAGCCAACAAAGATGCACTTCTGAGTATGAATACCAGAAGTGGGCCTTTTGTCCTTTTGCACATGCACATAGGCAAGGCAACCAAAAACCCGAAGGTGTGCCACACTTGGCTTCGACTTGTACCACAATTCATGAGGAGTAGGGTCCTCAGGAATGTGAGAAGTAGGATGCATGTTGGACACATGAATGTAAGCATTCACAGCCAAAGCCTTGAAAGAAGGGGGCAAGTTTGCCTCATGCAACATAGCTGTAGTATGCTCATCAATGGTACGATTAGCACGCTCTGTTCCATTCTGTTGTGGCCTATTCCTCACCGAATGGCGTCGCACAATGCCCTCTGAGTTGAGATATCTATCCCACTCATTAGACATGTACTCTCCACCTTTGTCTTCCTCAAAAGCCTTGATTTTGTGCCCAAAGTGGTTCTCAGCATAAGCTTTGAACTCTTTGAAAGTAGCAAAGGCATCACTCTTACGCTTCAGGTGTTGAACCACCTTAAAGCTAGTATGATCATCAACAAAGACTATTCGGTATCTGTAACCCTCTCGAGTGTAGACACGGTATTCTTTGAGATCAGAGTGAACCAGATCAAGAGGCGCTTCAGAACGATGACCAGTAGAGTGAAAAGGTGCAGCACTCAGCTTGCCAGCTAGGCATGGTTCACAAATGGGATCTGGTTTCTTTTGTGAAGTGAGCTTCACTCCAGTCACCAGATTCTTGCTCAAGACCCTCTGAGTGTCAGAGTGATGTTCAAGCCGACGATGCAGCAAGTCCAAGTCAAGAGGCAAAGTCCCAGATGTAGAAAAAGCTGATTGAGGAATGGAATCGACAACTTCATTCACATGTGCTTGGTTCCTCTCATCAATGTCTGCCTCAAACAGAACTTCTCCAGAATGTTCAAAGGAGATGGTACATCCCTTCATAACAACAGAGAGCCCATGAACTCGAGACAGATGAGTAGTAGAGATGAGATTATGGGATAAACCCAGAACATACAAGACAGAAGTGAGTAAAATATGTCAACCTAATTGTCCTTTTCTAAGTACAGGCTTCAGCAAGACATCTCCAATCAACTCTGAGTAAACTATAACTCCATTTGCAACCTGTATGGGTATCCTGAAGGGCCTAGCATTGAGTAGACACTCCTTTTGGTGGGTTATATGTGACGTGGCTCCTGAGTCTGGATTCCATCTTGGGTCAGCAAGCATAAGAGTTGAGAGGGTAAGAAGACTTGCATTGGCAGCACTTTGGACTGTTGCTGAACCTTCACCATTTCTGCCCTTTTTGGCATGGTGTTTACCCCTTAACAAGGCCAGGAAGTCTGGACACTTGAGAGGGAGGTGTAGCTTTTTGCAGAAGATACAAGGATCAACTGCAGGAGCAGCAACTGCGGCAGCAGGTGTAGTTGGTGGGACAACAGTTGGAGGGGTTGCAGCCATGGCAAGACCAGACAGAGGATTTTGCTCTGCTGAACTTATGTCACCTTCCTGATGCTGGAATCGAAATGCCTGGTGATTGGCAAAGGCAGTTTCGATCTCTGACACCTTGAGCTCAGTAGACTGCTCAAAAGACGCTTTGAGAACTCCTAAGAGTCCCTCATCAGGAAGAGCCATAAGAAGAACCACAGCTTGTAGCTCTTCATCTGCCGTGGAGAGGTCAAAACCAGTTGGTCTTGACTCCTTCAAGAGAGACATAGCAGTTGAAACACGACCAGAGAGCCCTAGGAGTGATTCCCCTTCTCTAAGACGAATTGAGGTGAGGGTTCTATAGGCAGTGAAGCGAGCACCAGCCTTCCTGAGGGCAGAGATGTCCTCCAGGGCTTTCCAAAGGGCACAAGGATCGTCCTCATGCTGCTTAACAAGAGGTTTGACCTCTGCAGAGAGCACCCCACAGAATGCCACCACACTTGTCAATGGCAACTGCACCAAGTGCTTTCTTGTCTGCCTCTGTAGAAGCAAGACAAGCAGAAAACACCTCCTTTCTGCGCAAATAGGCCTTGGCATCACTCTTCCAACTTGGGAAAGAAGTGTCCTTAGCAAGAATAGGCATAACATCTGAGTTTGCCATTGTGTGGAATGAGAGAGAAGTGAATGGATAGAAATGAATCCAAAGCTAAAACCACTGCAAATAGGCAAGTGACGCCCTCAGTAGTGTGTGTGGTGATAAAAGAAAGAGAGAGAGATAGTAGGTAAATGAGCAAGCAGTTGTAATCTCTCTTGAGATCGCAATCCCTAGACTCAGTGGGGTTACCACAATGTTGTCTAGTGACCCAAAGGATGCCTTTATACAAGGATTACCCCAACAGTTCAAGCTCCTATATACTAGAGACCACCACACACACAAAGGACAGAGATGTTGAGCAGAGGGGAGTCTCACACACAAGGAAAAACGCTCAGAAATAGCTCAGAGAGCAGGGCCCATAACCTGTTGAACAGGCAAGCACAGAGGTCTGAGGTCAACAGTGAGAAACTCTAGATTGGATGTACAAGGAAGACTTGCCTGAGGTCAACAGTGAGAAACTGGAGACCTCAGAGCGAAACTAGACTACTTATATATGTATGAGTATGTATCTAGTATGCATCTAGTATGTATCTAGTATCACTACGGACATTAATGTATTTTCCGCCCCAGAAAATGCATAGAAAATTTGAAATTTTCTGAAAATCTTCTGAAGATTTTCCGAGGATTTTCTGTCACGGAAAATTTGGAATTTTCCATCAATCTTCTGAGAATCTTCTGGGAAATTTCCAGATCACAAGATTCCCAATTTTCGGCCACGGAAAATTATCAGAAAATGTAGAATTCGGATCTGGGATCCGGCCGATTGCATCTTTCCAGTATACCAATTAGCCATCATGCAGCAGCGCCCAGATTTTCATAATAATAATAATAATATTCAGTGCGCAGTATAATTACACAAGATCATATTCATTCCTGCCCACCATACATGGCCCTCTTCTCCCACAATTTCACTCACTGCCGCCGCGCCATGCTATGGTCTGATGTCGATGAGAACAACGTGCCCGCCTCTAGCAGCTGGCCAGAATCAAATGTTAGCGCCGTTTTCCTGCCGAAGCATTGGCTTCTGCATCGCAAAACACTCTGACTCCAAGTCAGTGTTGTCAAATCTGGCCAAAGAACACAAAATACTGCACCTAAACTGACGTCATCCCTAATCCCAACCATTGTCTCCCCAAAACTCAAAACTCTTGGTCAGACAAGACAGACCCTCCCATCAAGTGAGTTATAGACTTGAGATTAATGTGTGGTGAGCATTACGAGCATCGGGAACAAATCACGACAATCCTTGAGCAAGGCGGATGGGGAGCTGTACCCGCAGTGGGTTGAGCATTTATGACAGTTGGTGCAGGGCCTGCGCCTGGGCTTTGGAAGTTGCTCTGCACAAGACATTCACGATGAGCCCCGCTTCGGTGCCGTATGGAGCAGGAGTAAGCTCAAGGAAGCAAACTGCTTCATCGACCAGGGGGTACAGTGGTTGTACTTTCAGACTCACTAATCGTCGGCGGCGGTCTCGCTGACACTGACGCTCGTAGCCGCACTGACTTCGGAAGGCGCTTTCTCGCTCCCATCATCAGTTTCGGCGAACGAAACAACGGCCTCTCGAGTCCAAATTAACTCCTCCTCCTTCATAGTTGTATCCCCGTCAGATTGTCGTTAATGCCAGCGAGTCGACAGCCTCCCGAACTTTGCGCTCAACCTCTGCCTTTTCGAAACCAAGCAGAGTGATAAGTTCTTCCCGCGAGTCTGTCTTGAACAGACTGAGAAGAGCTTTCCAACCATCCCCATCAATTGACTGTTCGTGTGCCCAGTCCGCGACGGCCGCGCTTTGTCCTTGTCGAGGGCTTCCCGTAGACCTTGGACACGATCGACAACATCGATATCCTGTTCAACGTGGACAGTCCGCAGGTGAACTGAGCCGCTTTGATGCTTCCCGGAGGCACCAGGGAGATTCGCCACGCTGACAAGCTTCCCGCCAAAACCGAACGAGGCGGAAACAGAGCGACGGAACCACTTGGGTGGCTGGGAAAGAGAAAGGGTACCAGCAGCGCTGGTAGCAGTTCCTCCAGGTTGTAAATCGAAGATATCGGCACCGGAGGCAGCGTGAGCGGCAACCTGGGTGGCAGAATCGGCAGCAGACTCGTTCGTGCCTTGAAGCGAATGGATTCCGATAGTCCCATCGAAAAACGCGGCGGCAAGAAGGTCTGGGTTGCGAGAGGACACCAATCAACTTGGAAAGCCCAGTTTTGTGCGCGCGGAAGTTCACCCAAAGCATCGCCTGTTTGAGGGTTCCAGCAGAGAGTCCTATTGTCCTTGCCGCAGGACAGAAGGTCTGCGTCCTGGGCGCACCAAGACAGCGAAAGAATTCCCTTTTCATGACCAGTCAAGATCTGAAACGGAAGCACATGAGCGCTAGATTGAATTTTCTGAAGACACGTCAGCGCACCTTCTCCGGAGCACGAGCATTGCGAAGGTCCCAGAGCATGATCATGGGCGACTGGTTGTCTTCATGTGAGGTTACGAGACGCGTCGCGTTGTCTGGGTGCCATTTGATATCGCTCATTCCGCCAGCTCCACCTGCGCCATAAGCGAGAGCCACGACTTCGCGTTTGCCACGTAAATCCCAGACGACTGTGTTGCCAGTGCTGCTCGCGCCAGCGAGAACATATTGGACCTGTCTGTTCCAAGCAACAGCGGTCATTTCATCAAGTTTGGTGGACCGAGCACCGGGGGTTGGCGTGTATGGCTTCGCCGGTGAGTTCAAGTCCAAATGAGACCTCGAGTAAGGGTCAAAACAACGGAAAGCGAGCCAAGATAGCGTACCTCGCCACTGACGGCACCGGACGCGGGCAAGCTCGTCTGGATGGGGTTAAAATCAAGGCCACGTATCGGTCCAGTATGAATAGAATTGCGCAAAATAAGTGCACTGCAATAGCATAAGAAACGCGGGCGTCGTGAATTAAATGACAATCTTACTCGTCGGGCGCCTGCAAGAATCTTTGCGGGGTCCCATAATGCAAGCTCGCCGTTCTCCAGGCCGGCTGCGATGACGCCACGCGAACCTCCCCAAGCAAGCCTGTTGAAACGGGCGGTGTCCTTGACGACGCCCTTCGGACCTCGTTGCCCAGCGGCCCCAAGCTCAAACTCATTCTTGTCGAGGAAGTCCGGAGCCCAAATCTCGAGTTGGCTCTCATCGCTGAACGACTCCCCCGTATACGCCTGTCCAGTCACCTCCTAAGCCTGACTTCCTTCCGCTTGCCGTCGCTGGCCGGGCGCAAGAGCGCTGCTGCCGGCGCATCTACAAAAGGGTAAGTGCTGCTGTCTCTATCTCTTGTATTCCTTACCAATGTTTACAGCCCACACGCCGGCCTCGCCATTCGAAATTTCTTGTCGGCCCACGCTGGAGAAAGTTTCATCTTCGTCGTTGCCCAGTCCATTTCTTGCTCACCTTACTCCAATTCAGTTTTGTCGCTGTGCTTAGGTATCACGGGCAGGATGCTTGTTGCTGTCCTGAGGTGAGTGTGGTCCAGTAGGCTGCATTCGCGGACTCACATTGCATTATTGCGCGTGTCTGGTGAACACGTCCAACGTTCATTACTGCCCGCTAACGGTGAGTTGTTTGGTAATTCTCCTCCTTTGCCAGAAGTTCTGCAATTCCCCCCCGCTCAGGCTTGCTCTCCCGCTCGATGCCAAATCGTTGCGCGCTGTTGTCAACCTCGAAGGACAAGGTGAGTTTGACGCTGTGTGCATTGCCTGCTGGACTTACCGCGTCCTAGAACAGTGCATTAGTGTTCTATATATCCATCTCCATCGCGTAAGCTATCTTCTTGTTGTCAATGTGCTTGTTGACCGACTTCCTCCCCGGGGCCAGCCTTGTACTAGCAATCGTTTAGACGGTTGGTTAGCGGCTTTCAGGGCCAGCGACGACTTTGGGGGTGATTTGAATCGATGTAGAATAAGCTTTTTGAGCACTGGAGATGGTTAGCATAACCACCCGCATGAGAAAGATTTTGAGGCTTGCATGCGGGGGGCGCGGCAGATTCGCGTGGCGTTGGGAGCCCGCGCAAATGGGCCAAGTCAGGCGAGATATCATGAGCCGCCGAGGCCGGGGCAGGCGGGTTGCCTGGTATTACTAGTCGCGAGCAGGAATTGAAGCGAAGAAGGTGGTGTGTTATGGGACACGTGTCTTCAGTCACATCATCTACACGTGTCTTCAGTCACAGCGTCGGGGTTTCTCTCTCCCTAGTGCGGCCACGCATTGGGTCTGTGGTCAGCCTCGAGGGCAGTTGCAACTCTCCGGCGCACGATGAAGTCACCATCTGCGAGCAGGCCGCAAGTGCCACTGGTAAGTCTGCTCACGACAGAAACACGTATGTGACAGTGTTACACTGTTTTGAAACACTGATTACTTAATCAGGAATCGCCACGGCGACGTGACAAGTTCCGGCCTCCCTGTTGTTGGAACGACTTCACAAAGGCAGCCTGCACCTTGGTCCTGTTCTTGTCTCGCAATGGGCGCGTACAGTCGTTCCCCCGCACATGTGATGCGTTCCCGAATGCATCCACACTCCACAACTCGCGCACAGAGAGTCTTGGCAACCAGCGCTTCCGAACCGCACAACGACAAGAGTGACCTGTCCGCTAGGCGTTACTGAGAATCTTCAAGCCAGTGTTACCTCATAAGAGATACAGGGAGGTCTATGTACTAGAGGGAGTATCGTAAGTATGACAGAAGCGAAGAAGAAGACCAGCCACCGAGAAACAGCACAGATCTCCACAACCGCGAAAGCTCGGACTTGCCCGCCCTTGACGACACTTTCGGCCGAACGAAGGCGAATCAGGTTATCTGGCAGTCGCAGTGCCAAAATGCTGGCCCCCAAGGCCCCTAAAGTCCACCCATCTTCTCAGGCATTCATTTCCCCTGCGACTGCTACGTCTCCTCCCACACACGACCTCATGGTCTGGGGTGGACGAAAGTGCGCCCAACAAGGGCCTTCCGCCTCGGATGCGGCGGGGAAATAATGAACGAGGAGTGGGCCGGGGCGAGTGTCGTACAACGTAGCAAGCACTTGCTGTAATATATAACATGGGTCCGAAGATATATCGAATGCTTTTGGCCTGCGTAAGTGGCACGTGACTTTCGCCTTCGGGGCAGAGGTCGTTGGTGGAACCTGCGGGGACAGGAGGAGAACCAGAGGCGGATGGATGAGGAAGGAGTATGGGAGGAGATGTAATCATTGTTGAGCGCCTTGGGTGTTCGAGCGTTGTTTAGTGCAAGCTGAGTGTTTGGCAAAGCTGCAAAGGGAAAGGGAGAGAATCCGGGTCGTAACACCCCACTTGAGCAGCCGACGTTTATGAATAAGTTCTATGACGTGTACTGGTGATAGATAGCGCCTACAGATGAGTTTGCGCGGCTCTGGCCATTGAGCCGGAGAGTGACAAGTCGAAGCGCCTTCCGGGTAGACGGGTGAGTTTCTGTGAGAGGGCAATACGGCCACACCCACCTCGGACGCGTGGGATTCATCCACCACCACGTTAGATGGAGGTGCTATGGTGAAACTAGCGACTGAAGTCGGAATGTGTGAGCTAGCAGCAGCAGCGGCCCCATACGAGAACTTGGTAACGAAGATGGGGGTGGATGGGTTGAGCGGCTTGAGCCACAAACTCCGAGTTCAGCGAGATTAGCATATATTCCCTTCGACGCGCAACTGTTACACCCGCGAGACAGAAAAGGGATGAGCTCGGATATGTGTTTGGCGCAGTAGAAGTTGACGATGAAGATAATGGGCAGTATAACGAGTGGCAAGAGGTCCTGCGAGAGTCCTGTCTCAAAAGGAGGAGAACAAGAGCTTAACGTTGGACAAGGGACTGGCTTGAGAGGGCCACACACCTGCCGACTCCAATTCTAGATGCCGCCTCCCTCGTTCTTCGCACTGGTGTCCTCGAGATATTCGTCGTATGTGGGTAGGAGTAGCTCGCTACTCGCACTCTTCAGTTACGTTGGCAGGAGAAAGTGAGTAAAGACACGCACCTATCTCGAGACTATCGCGAGGCTACAAGTTAATACTTGATTCCACACCATCATCTTGTCAATTATTCGGCGTTGACCACAAAGAATGGTGGTGGTGCCTCGCACTATGTCGCATATGACCGCCGTAGAGCGGGGGCCGTGGTCAAGACCGCCAACTGGCGGCACCATGGAGTCGGGAAGAGAGAAACAAATGCATGTCACACACACCCGCTTCTTGTTTCCCAACCTCGATGATCCCGCCAGCCTCAAACTCGTCAAGTCTTCTACTGAACGTGACCGGTGCTCTTCCTCGTGCGCCATTTCAGCGCACGAACTCGGACAGCTCACCTCACCCGATGTCGGCAAACGGAGCAATGTGTGTCTTCGCGTGCCTCGGCTTGGATTTATGGCTCGATACCTATGCTGTGGGCGCGGGAGGGAAAATAAATTGATTGCCAAAAAAGGAAAAAGGGAAGAGGAGAGAAGAGCGAGAAAGAGTACTTACATGTATTGTGCATAGATGAAACTTGAGTACTTTCATCTTTTGCCCAAATTGAGCGTATTCTACCACTGAGAATTCGTTCTGCGCGCCGCAGGCGCGCAAACGAGAGATATGGCTTTTCTGCACGTGCCGTGCAAGAATATTGCCAGGAATCACCTTTTTAGGTGGTATCTACCGGCTGTGTGGAAGGCCCGGTGACCCGAGGCCTCGATAGCTCGCCCGAAAAGGTTTTTTTTTTGAAGGCTCCGGCACGTCAGCCGCGTTTGACACCGAGACACCGTGATGACGACTGCTTTCTACACCACCACTGCCAGCCAGCCACAACCTCAACAAACGGCAGCGTGACTCGCGCGGCTGCCGCGTGGCTGACCTTACCATTACCACCACTCAACACAATCGTTACGGGCCTTCAAAAAAGGCGGCAACTGGGAACGACAAACCGATGGGATGGGGTAGCGGACGGATATGGGTATGATGGGGTGGAGGTGGGAGGTGGTTACAAGGAGAGGTTGGAGCGGGAGAGGTGGACACGAGAGGTGAATACCAGACGCGGCACACTATCGGTGAGTGCTTTTTTGTGCTTAAACATTTTGCTCACTTTTCTCGTCGTCCAGCTGCCACTCCACTCTCAACGACCCAAGCCACTACATTGGACGCACGGCTCAACTCCCACAGCCCCATCCACATACTTGATGCACTCGTCTTTGGTTGGTCATCGACCTACTATTCCTGTCCGCACCACACTTGCAGATTTGCAAGTGTGGTGACCCAGCATGGTCTAGCAAGACCATGCTGGGCTCTCTCATGTTTTTTCACCTCGATAACCACTGTATGAACTCGTTACAATGTAATTACTCCTACTTGTTTAATTCTAATCTTTTCTGCGTCGACTTTTCGTGCCGTGCTAATCCGAAGAGCCTGCAAACCTTGTCTGTTAATTCACTGCCCTCCAACATCGAAGGTGGGTATGGGTTCTGTGGTGAACATCTCTTTCGCGTCTTGTTCTTCGACGTCCGCCCAACACACTCCTTAGTGCTTTTCCTCCCACAGTCGCGACATGGATTCGTGCAAAGGAACCATGAACCCCGACCGGCACACCCATCCTCCCTCCCACATCGAATACATGATCGTCCGTTACGTGCCTTCTTTGGCGCTGGCTGGCCATGAAGTGCATCTTCGGCAGCGCGTTTCTTACTTGTGTGAACGACTTGACTGGCAGCCGATATAGACATTGCATGAGAAGCAGCATGTTGTTGTGCGTAGGTAGATTCAGACTCGGTTGGCCTGTGAATTATAAAAATAATGCAAGTCATATGTAAACATGCAAACATACACATGGGGACCCTCATCGGTGAAGCCTGATGTGACTTGAGGCGCTACAAGCTCGCTCGCAGGTGCGTGCACAGCGTAAGTTGTTCGATTGTCGAGCTCCTTTTGCAATGGAGCAGTCTGCTCTTGCACACGAGCACAGGAGATACGGATGTTGGCAGAATCTTTGTATGGGCCGTTGAAGTATGCTGTTAATTGTTCTTCGAGCTAAAAAAATCGTCAGAATAAGTCAATGGAAATAAGTTACGGTACCTTGTAATAGATATCAGCAGTTTCAGCAGCCACACGGTTCCATTCAATTGTAGCCTCAGTAGAGATGGAAGTCTTGCACCTTTGAAATGCGGTGGAGGTGAGCATCAACTTGGTGAACAACTTCTTCTCTGCAACGGTATGAACAGGAAGAACGGGTTTACGTGTGCCCTGCATCTTGGCGAGGTACGCCTGCTTCTGCTTGGTGTCATGTGTTTCGCGGAAGGGTTGGATGTCGACTGAGGAACAAACAGAGGCAGGGAGGTGAATAATACCAACTGTCTGCTTAGATTTGACGTAGAGATTGCCGTTAACCCAAGGGAGTGAGAGTGGGGCCTTGTTGTAGTGTTCGCCTAGTGCAATTTCGAGTTCTTGAATTTTGTTCGACAGCCAAATCGAGTCGTGACCAGCAAATTTTCGCCCAGTTGAGTTGAAGTGGCCAACCTGAAAAAAAACTATGATCAGATGAATGAGAGAAATAGACAAAGACAGACAGTGAGATTGTGTCGCAGAACAAAGTCAAGGAGACAGGCCACCATGTGGCGAACAGAGGCTCCACGGGAGGGTAACTTTGCAAGCAAATGTGTATGAACACCACCCTCGACCATGTTAGTGCCCCGAATACAGCGATAGAGCGGCAGACCACCAGCTTTCTTGTCAAAGCCAAGAAGAAAATAGAGGGCAACACCAGGCACATCAGACACATGACCATTTCGCACCAGCTCCAAAATGTTCTTTGCGATTTTCCATGCGGCTGAATTGAAGAGTGGAAGACCGGTTTTTGCATCCTTGAGCGGTCCGTACAGCATAAATACACGGTGCACCAGTGGATACAACTCTTCGGGAGGGGGAATAGTCCGACGACAATGTCGCCAAAGCCATTTTGGATTGTACCGAAGCATATCGGCCCATGTGAGGCCACGAGTAGCCAGATAGATTTCGATACGGGCCTTGTCGGTGGGATGTGGAATGAGACATGCATCTCGGAGGTCATTGATGAATGCGAGTCGAAGACCATGCATGCGAGAGATATAAATCATATGAAATACATGGAAAATATCCTTAAGGATACGGCTCCGTATTGCAAAAGCCCAACTTGGAGGTGCTTCGGGACCAAGAGTTTCCAAAGCCACTGCTGCACTCTCCGCATCAGCCTCCGCCAAGTTGGGTGTTATTGGTGGAGAGTCATCAATGTCACCATCATCGAGCCCTTCGAGTGCACTGACGAGATCATCATCAGCACCATCAGCAGTCTCAGTGCTGGGTAACACATCAGTAGAGATGGACGATGAATTTGAATCTATGTCTAGAGGTTGAGCCATAGATGAGACAATGCGAATGTGAGAGCGATGAGCGAGAATATCGAATGGGGCTACACCGAAGTGACTGAGTGAGAGTTTGTTTCCATTTGAGTCTTTATTGATTCCGATAATAGCTCCTGGAGTCAAAACCTTCTGAATCGTAACCACAGTGCGAGTGGCGGTGATATTGGTATTCTGGAATTGGGAAAGGGAAGCATTCGGAGAAATGACACCTTCCGCAGCGGTCTGTTTATTGTCATCGGTCAACAACATGATCGACGTGCCAGGTAGAAGTAAGGTGTCCAAACCAGATGATGGGCGTGGTGTTTTGACGATTTCGTTATAGAGGAGAAGTGAGGCATATGCATCACGTGCTGCATATTCGAGTTGTGCTTGGCTCAGTTCTGAGTCCGACCAATTACTGCTGATACGCTCAGCAAATGGCTTTGGAAGGGACTGATTGAGCAGGGATGCAATAAGATCAGCAAGGGAGAGGGTGGCTTTCTTGATCAGGAAGCGCTCCTTGGCAAACATTGCAAGGTCAAGAGCACCAGGAAAGTGGTCAGCTGGAAAGCCAGCAGCAGCAGCAAGCCGTCGCAGATCAGCATTGACTTGACGACCTGCCTTGACAACCTGACTATGTCGCAAGAGATTCACCAGCTGTTCCGGAAGCCGCTGTCGGGAGAGCATCTCGCCAACCTGGTGTTCTGTTAGTTCAGAGGTATAGATGAGATAGACTCATGTACCTTGAGTATGAAAACAGAGTTTTGATATGCGATCTGCAAGACAGCAGGAGGACTGCGCCCACCAAAGCGGCCATACTGCGTCATGTCCACATTCCATTCAGAATCAAACCCGATGACAAGCTCACGACCAGCAGGAACATCATCGAGGATAGCCCTCATTGCATTGTTAATCATCGCCTCATCATCCAGCACTGTTGGGTTGCGGACAAAATCAGGTGTCTCGAGAAGAGGGAGATGTGCGTATTTGTCAACCGGAACAACATTTTCGAGAAGGGAAGGGAAAATCCTTTCAAGCATCGCCTTGTCAACCATGTTGTCCGTGTAGAAAACCTCTGGCAAGTTGTGACCATACACGACAAGGTCATCTGCAAGTCGCCGAAGTGCATCATCAAATTGCGAATGAGACTTGGTAGCCACAAAAACACAAACACGAATTTCGCCTTTTTCGTTGGTGACTGTGAGCAGTGCGGTAAAGATGGGGACACCATCAACCTTGAAAACGTGTTTCGCAAGCTGGAAACTCGAGTGAGAAACAATATACAAACAAAACAAATTAAATACCTTGTGACTATGGTCAATAGCACAGATACGAGCAGAGAGCATTGCCATATGCTGGTTGATTGTGTCCCGCTTCGACTCGATATACCCATCATATAGGTCCCGAAGCCACTGACCACTTGGGGTAAACCCATGGTAACCTCTCGCCGAACGATCCTGGAACGGCGGAAAGACCTCATAGAATTGCCCACCCAGCAACATCTCCTTGTACTTGGCTCGCAAGTACTGCAAGCGAAGTTTGTCATAGCGTCGTAAATGCTGCATTCGAAACAGGTCGGACAGCTCTGCAGAGCCCACACCGTATTGGAAGCATGATCGCACAACACCAAAAGCTTGCTTGGAAAGTCCGCTCCGCCATGTCAGATAGGCCGGAAACTCATCGGCTAGCTCTGGTGGCAGTTGATCAAGCACTCGTTGGTCCCACGAGCGCAAACGCAGACCACAACCATCAGGGCTCTTCCGACACCCATAGTTGTATCCAATAAGCCAGAAACAGTCGTCAATTTCAACAACTCTACGAGGACGACCAACGATGCCATAACGGGTGAGATAGTGGTTACATTCTTTGTTTGGACAGCGTAGGTGGAAGTTGGTGGAAAGAATAGCGAGTGGGTCCCAAATAAAGAAATTGGCCGTGAATAGAGTGTCCGGTGTAAGATTAGAATGGCGAAGTAAAGACCATGTCGTTTGTGGTGACCGAATCCAGAATGTTCCCGGTCTGATCTTTCCCTGCGCGATGTCGTCACGTATCGCGTTGAATTGAGTCGTTAGCCAGCCCGGAAATTCAGTCTTGGCTTGGTCCAAGTCCGCGTCATCCTCCTCTCCAAGCCCTTCCCCGTGAACCAATGTATCGTTCTCGTCATTCGATTCCGCATCCAGAATCATCCCGGGCACCATCGACTCGTTGTCGTGTAAGATAGAAGTCGTTTCCGATGCAGGGGTGTGGTCAACAAGTTGGCGGGCACGATCGATAGTGCTACGTGATGTTGTCGTGGCGTTGGTGTGGGCAAAATGAGGTGTCGGAAGTGAATGAGCCATGAGTGGCGGGAGAACAGGATGGGTGGAGGCTGACAGGACGGGAGGTTGGTTGTTTGACTGTCAAATGGATAAAATTAGCGTCAGGAAGCTGGCAAGTTGAATAAACACGCACAAGAGGAAGAACTGGAGGAACAGCGATGTCGAACGCGTTATTGGGTCCTCGGTCATCGAGCATGTCAGGTGGCTGCAGAGCAGAAGCACGAGAGGCAGCCGTGGGTATGAGGCCAGTTATCACAAAAAATTATTTGCTTGTGGTTTGTGGTTTATGACTTATAGTTGTGTTCACTTTCTGTGGTTGAGGCCATCTTTGTGCTTGTGGCATATATGGTTGAGGTTTTGATTTCCGTGGTTAAGGTTTTGATTTCTGTGGTTGAGGTTTGAGGGCTGTATTGTAAGTGTCTAGAAGCTAAAATTCAGATTTCCATCAGATTCAGATCAATTCATCAATGCTCTACAACAAGTTAATACTCTTTGCAAAACTCCAAAGTCTGGAAAGCTTTACTTACCAGGTGATTTATCTGGGGATCTTGCAGTTGAAATGTTTGAGGCTCTCTGAAGCTTGGTGAGACCAGGAGAATCTAGATATGTAGAAGGTAGTTGCCTTAAACTGCGATAGCAAGATTGATGGGATTGATCGCCATCATAGTATCAATTTGTATGTGATTTAAATGTGGGTAAGTGGTCTAATGTATGATACCTTAAGCTCAAACACAATGAACATAATCATAAATCTCATAGCACAACCACAAACCATCAATTGAGAAGCAAAAACCATGTAGACCACCCACCACAACCTGGTAAAAAACCACAACCATAAAGCTGTACCATCTTTAAAACCTCGATGGAAAGAGCACAGACTCAAATAACTAAATTTTTGTGAAAACTGCTCTTATACGTGGGAGACGGCAGTGCTGCGTTCGCGGTCTTGGACTTGTTCTTCGAGCCTTTAGGTCTGCCAGGTTTCCTCCGCTCAGTTGGCAGAGAATCGACAGGTGGACTAGCAGCGGTGGGAGAAGGCGCTGGAGCAGCAAAAGGCCGCCAGCGTAGCTGTGGGAACATCGCGTCGACAGGTGTCGACGCTGGAAGTCGCTGGCGGCGTGTGTGTGAGACAAGAAGCTAGCTGTTGAGATCTTGAGAGGTATCTGTCGGTCACGTTCACTACCGAATCGAGTAATATCATGACTAATATCGATACCGAGCTATTCGCCCACACTATCGGTAACTAGCCGGATTTATCGCTGACTTTTGGCATAGCAATGAAAAGCTGTACTCTCGTGCTACCGTGTAACAACTCGAAAGCACCTATGCTAACAACGACGACCGAGCAGTTCCAGCAAGTTGGGACATAACGTTTTCGGGGGGCAGCGGTTGACGATTGGTGCGTGAAAGTCACTCTCTTTCTGCGCAACCTTGTTGCTGACAGTCTCCCAACAAGCTCTCGTCTACTTTGACTACTTTCCGTCGCAAACAGAGAAGACTCACGACTTGTCACCTGCCCCGAATATCGCTTACTGTCAAGAGAAGAGAGAAACAGTTGTCGGGGCTGATTTTCACCACCCATTCCCAAAGTACTCAAATTCTCCCCGCCATTCATGGCATGTCCACCCTCGATAGTCGTTTCATCTCCGCAGAGTTGAAGCTGGCCGACTCGCGGTTTGGCTTAGCGTCGTCACATTGCTCGCGCTGGATAGAGATAGACAGCACAAGCGTCTTCTTACCCTGCACCCCTTCAAAGAAGCCACGATGGCCGACCTGAATACACGCAACTTGTCCCATTATCTCTCGGCAAACACGTTTGAAGGTAGTGCATACTTTTCAGCGTCTCCGTCTGAAGCATCTTCTAGGTACAAGAACAACAATACCCACTTCAAAGCAACAACAACGACATCATCGCTATTCTCTCCTTTGCCGTCAGCTCCTCTGCCTCCCCCTCGACGCCTCCACCATCCTCCTAATTTTGTCCGGATTTGGCAAGTCACGTGCGCCTCGCCGCCCAAAGACTGCGACATATCTCCTCCAGCACTGCAGCTATCGCTCTAGCGGGTCCTTGTACCCCGTGCTACTGGCCTTCTACCGAATTCTTTCAGCTTCGCTATTCGAGGGGGAAGACCTCTGTTGAGCGCGTTTTCTCCTGCGGTCGTATGCGAGGCGTAGACGATGTCTCTGCGTTGAAGGGCGATATATGCGTCGGCGGAGATGACTAGGTGGAATTAGGAGCTTGGGAGATGGTTTTGCGCAGGAGTTATCTACCGACCGGTAACGAGCTTCACGAGAAGCTTCAGCCTCCCCTCGACAGCCAACGGTCAAACTTGAAGTGGAGGCAATTATGTTCTGGCACGCTGTTCGTCGTTGTTGCCGCAGTAGCCCCGGTCAAGGCCGGCTCCGGAGGACAAAGAAGACACCAACTTTCATCCGGTCAGAAACGACAGCAAAGGGCGACAATGACAACGACAACCTCGTCTCTGACCATGAGCTTTGCCACTAATGCAAGCTTTGTCAACAAATACCCTCATGACAAGGAACCCGAGCTTCAACCTCCTACTCGCTACTTGCTCCATATCGACAACATCAACCGCTTTCATCTGACTTCGTGGCAAGACAACTCAAATCTTGTCACCGATTTCACACTCACAACCTCATGTCCACATCTCCAGTGTGGACCTCGATTCCCTTGTATTATCAAGCACGACAACCTTGTCACTCGCAGTCGGATATGATTCGCATCCCCTCCTTTTCTCTTGCTCCTAGTATTTTTCAATGCTACCTACTCGTTTGCCATCTTCCACATCTGTATCTCCAAATGACGCCAACCAAGATAAAGAACCTCAAGAACCAGATCTGCGGTGAGTTTTCTGAGATATTCAAGCTATGCCAGGAGGTGTTGGAAGAGGCCCAAAAGTCTTCGTTGATCAAAGCGACTCTGGAAACTCTGTTGCGTTTCCTCAACTGGATCCCTCTCGGCTACATTTTCGAGACAACAATAATCGATTTGTTGCTGAATCGCGTGCGCATCTTGACTTCATTGTTGACCCTACCCTCATTCAAATAACAGTTTCTGGAAGCCCCAGATTTTCGCAATGTCACACTCCAATGTCTAGCAGTTATCGCGGCCCTCAAAGTTGGCGTCGAATACGACCCAAAATTTGTCATTCTATTCCAAATGGTCATGACCTCGATCAATCGTATGATCCTACCTTCAACCAACATTTCGGACGCGTACAACGCGTACAACGCTGCGGGTGATGCGGGCCAGGAACTCGTTCTCAACCTCTCTTTGTTTTTGTCCAACTTCCTTTCCAACCACCTTCGCGTCGTAGAGGGAGAAGCCACCCGCGATGTCCTTCTCAATGCCCACTTGTACATGGTCAAGGTTTCTCAGGTGGATGAACGAGAAATTTCCGAGATCTGTCTGGAATACTGACTAAAACGAGTCTCCGACTTGTACGAAGAAATTTCGAGCCTTCCTGTTGGCGAGTCCGGAATTCTTATGGGATTGAATCTAGGCTCTGGAGCTCCACAGAGCATGCTTGGGACTATGTTGATACGGAAAAGTATCTACAATGACATATTATCCAATCTTCGGCTAGTTGTAATCGAGCGAATGGTCAAGCCCGAAGAGGTACGATTTGCTGTCTGAAAACGCCATTTCTGATGAACCAGCACAGGTTCTGATTGTAGAAAACGACGAGGGTGAGATTGTCCGTGAATTCATGAAGGAAAGCGACACCATTGTCTTGTACAAGTCGATGCGGGAACTGCTCGTCTATCTTACTCACCTGGATGTGTCGGACACGGAAAGCTTACTCACCGAGAAACTCGCAAAACAAGTGGACGGGTCAGAATGGTCATGGAACAACCTCAATACGCTATGCTGGGCCATTGGATCAATATCTGGAGCGATGAGTACGCCCTCTATCTGCTCTGCATAGCCATTTTCACCCACGTTTGCTGCAGACGAAGAATCAGAAAAGCGCTTTTTAGTGACCGTGATCAAGGATCTACTGGGGTTGTGTGAAATAAAGCGCGGGAAGGACAACAAAGTAAGTCGCTAGAAACACTGAGTTAAGTAACACTGATCAGACTGTAGGCTGTTGTTGCCAACAACATCATGTATATCGTCGGTCAATACCCGCGGTTCCTCAAAGCGCACTGGAAATTCCTCAAGACCGTCGCCAACAAGCTATTCGAATTCATGCATGAAACCCATGAAGGTAGGTTTATCATTTTCTTGTAAGCGCTGAGTAACATTGGCAGGTGTGCAAGACATATGCGATACTTTCATCAAAATCGCTACAAAATGTCGCGTGAGTTTTCTGTCAAGATTCTGTTCTCCAAGGCCTAACCCGCTTCCAGCGTCACTTTGTGGTGCTCCAGAGCGGAGAAACGGAACCATTCATCGACGATATTCTGCGTTCGCTGTATAGGATCACATAATGCAGAATCTTTTAACACCTCAAGTGCCAGCCGTTCTCGATGCAGTCTTTGAGCCAACGTTGAATATGATCAATCAAGATTTCACCGAGTACCCCAAACACCACACGGGCTTCTACAAACTTTTGAAAGCCATCAATCTGAGCTGCTTCCCTGGTCAGTTACTAGATAGTCAGGCCCAAGTCCGCTCAATTTGCTCTAGCCCTTTTGACAATGACCCCTCCGCAATTCAAGCTGTTCATGGACAGCATTAATTGGGCCGTCAAGCATACCATGCGTGACATCACAGATATTGGTCTTGGTTGTAAGTTCTTTTCCCCTCCAAGTTGGTGCAATTTTAATTCAGCCCAGTATGCTTTGACGTGATCGATAACTTTGTGCTGGCACAGAGAAGGCTGCGCAGACAATAATTAGTATGAAGTAGCATATATGTATCATATACCATATTCATGTAATCTAATATGGAGGATTGGGTCCGACTGATTGCCTTGATAGCCAGTTTATATGCCGGAAAAGATGTCATCGGCCGGATCACGGATCCGAGTGCTACATTTTCCGAAAATCTTCTGTGACAGAAAATTGGAAATCTTCTGACCCGGAAAATTTCCAGAAGATTCTCGGAAGATTGATGGAAAATTCCAAATTTTCCGTGACAGAAAATCCTCGGAAAATCTTCAGAAGATCTTCAGAAAATTTCAAATTTTCTGTGCATTTTCTGGGGCAGAAAATACATTAATGTCCGTAGTGTATCAATCTAGGAAGGATGTGTAACAGTAAAGGAACAATGTGTATCAGATATGTATCAGAGACTATGTAACACAGAAATAAGACGAGATTGAGAGAGATAGGACAAGATAGAATGAGACTGAATGAAGCTAATAGTACAGATTTCAACACTTATTTAAAACAGACCTATGACTGCCAAAGAACTCTATAATTGTCAGGGGAACCCCCGCTACGGCCTCCTTTGGACCCTCCGAACGCATCCGAGGCGCATCCGACCGGCGCCCCCTCGGACGCTCCGACCCACCCCGACCATCGTCCACGGCCTCCTTCGCCCGCACAATCACTGATCCGTCAAGACCCTCCCAACGATCACCTTGGGACAGAGCCTGCGACGCCGCTCAGGCCTTCTGCGCTCTACGTCAGCAGTTACGGACGACCAGTATATAGTTGGCGCCCTAGCAGGCGGACCCTTAGAGTTTCTTCTCTTTGGATCCTCCCCTGCTAGGTCGGTCCCTCCGTGTATTTCCTGTAGTCTTATTCACGCTTTGGATCCTCCCCTGCTAGGCTTTCGTCGGAGTCTCCAGGGTTGCCCTTACAGCAGAAGAAACTCTCTACGGGATTAACCGGTCAAGATTACCAGGTTTGGTGCTGACTCAGGCTCGGAGTACGAGTCCGTACCCCCCTCGTCACCGCCCCTGCCACTTGACCTCTCCTCCTCTGCTCTTGTCGTCTTTACGCCCGCTATGTCTACCGGAGCTGCTCCGGACGCTGACGCGCGCATGGACGCACTTGAGGCGAAACTAGACAACCTCACCAATATCCTCACCCACCTTGCTTCCCAGGCTTCAGCTGCCGCACCACCTCCGGCAGCTCCCGAACCGCCCGGCATCTCCGAATGCCCCCCGACGCGGATGCGTTATTTGGTGACATTACTGTCGCCTCAAAACTGGTCTTATGACCAAACCCCCCGTTTGCGTTTAACGGAGATCGCAAACGCGGCCGCGCCTTCCTATACGCGGTCAAAACCTACGCTCGGCTTGCCCCGGAGGCCTTCGTGGTTAACGGAGAGCCGAGTGAAGAAAAGGCCGTCCGCTACGCCATGTCCTATATGGCGGAGGGACCTGCTCAGCAATGGGCAGAGCGTCATGGGAGCAAAAACCCCTTCCCCTTCCCTCGGTGGAGCCAGTTCCTCTCCGAGTTTCGCCTTCGGTTCGTTGAGGAGAACGAACAGGACCTCGCGCTGGCTAAGTTGGAAAGCGCGGGTTATCACATGGGAACGCGGGATGTCTACGGATATACCGACGACTTCGAGGACTTGATGGACCTCGCTGGCTTCGAAGACGCGTTGGTTAAGGTAACCAAATACCGCCACGGACTTGACCCCTTGATCAACAACGGCATCACCTCTTCGAACGACCCCCCAGACCTCCGTGACTATCTGGGCTGGCGCACTCGGGCTTTCCGACAATATGAAGCCCTGGTGCGAGCGAAGCTCATTAAGGGATACCCCGTGGACCGCTTCGGGAGCTCCGCGCGGCACCTTCCCCATCACTCGTTCGGCAACTCCGTTCCCCATCCGCCCGGTGGCCCCGCCTGCGCCACCCGCGGCCCGCGCCCCCGTCCCGGTACCTCCGGCTCCCGTCCCTATGGAGCTGGATCGTACTAGGGCTCGGGGTGCCCCTTGTCGAGCCTGCTTCAGATGCGGCGACCCCAACCATTTGGCTCGGGACTGTCCGCTCCCCGCCGACGTCCGCCATGTGGACATCCTCGACGAGGTAATCCAGCAACTTGGCGATGAGATGCTGGGAGAGCTGCTTGCGTGGTTGTCCGATACTGCGGCCTTAGCGGAGGTGTAAGGGCAACCCCGGAGGCCTGAGATCAAGGTCCTAGCAGGGGAGGATCCGAAGAGTGAACATTGGTAAGCGAATACAAATGAAGCTGACCTAGCAGGGGAGGATCCGAAGAGAAGAAACTCTAAGGGTCCGCCTGCTAGGTAGCTGACTATATACTGCTTGTCCGTAGCTGCCGCTGTCGGGCACAGAAGGCTTGGGCGGCGTCGCAGGCGAGGTCCCAGGGCGACCGTCGGGAGGGCGTTGACGGATCGGTGATTGTGCGGGCGAGATGGAGGGCCGGACCGGAGACGGAACCGGAGTCGGACCGGAATCGGAGGCGTCTCCGAGGGGCCGAAAGGGAGGTTCCCCTGACATCACCCCCCCCTTTGAATGCGGCGTCCCGACGCATAGACCGGAACGGAATCGAGTCGAAGGTCACGGAGGCGATGTGTCGTGGCTTGCCAGGGTACTTACGATAGAACTCCGCAATTTTCTCCGGGGCGAAGACGCGGTCGAAGCGGACCCATTGGTCGTGCGATGCGTCGTAGCCTTTCCATCTGACGAAGTAGTTCAGCCGCTTATACCTCACCCTTGCGTCCAGGATTTCCTCTACTTCCCACTCCGGGACTCCGTCCTCGAGGTCCGGAGGGGGCTGGTCGTAGCCGGGGCGTCCGTCGAAGGGGTCGTCCTGAGCGAGCTCGAGCTTGACGACGGGGAAGACCGGGTGGAGCTTCGAGTAGCGCGGAGGGAGGTCGAGCTTGTAGGCACCTTTGCTGATCTCTGCGACTATCTTGAATGGTCCGAGGCGGCGATGGGAGAACTTTTCCGAGGGGCGAGTCGTCCTGATGTCAGAGGCATCCAGCCAAACACAGTCGCCAACCTTAAACTCCGGAGACGGAGTCCGTCTCCGGTCGTAGTAGCGCTTGTACTCCTCTTTGGCCTTAGTGAGCGCGGCCTTGGCTTCAGCAACACCAGTGGCGATCCGGTCGCGGAACTCGTTCACTGACTCCATGGCAGAACGGACTCCGGGTTTGAAGCCCATGCGCGGGAGCCGTCCCGTGTCCGTCATGAAGGGGACCTGCTGCGTGGAGGAGTGAACATGGTTGTTGTAGGCGAACTCCGCGGCTGGAATCAGCTCATCCCAGTCGTCCTGCTGGTAGTTGGTGAAGATCCGCAAGTACTGCTCCAGCTCCTGGTTGACGCGCTCTGTCTGACCGTCTGTCTGCGGGTGGTACGCGGTGGACGTGGCGGGCTTGATGCCGATTAGACGCCAAAGTTCTCGGGTGAAGTCCGCGATGAACTGCGAGCCGCGGTCGGAGACGTACTTCTCCGGAGTCCCATGGTGCCGCCAGACATTCCGGTAGTAGAGGCGGGCTGCCCCTACTGCATCGACCGTCGTATGACACTCTGAGAAGTGGGGGCGCTTTCCGAG